AGAGAGAGAGAGAGAGAGAGAGAGAGAGAGAGAGAGAGAGAGAGAGAGCTAGCAGAGAATAACTGATGATGGGGAAAGAGAAGGAAAGAGGAAGAGGAACTAGCTGAGGACCACTTTGCTGCCCGGCAGTCAGTCTGCCTATCTATCTAACTATCTTCACCAGACGACAGCCAAATTATAAGGCAGCAACAACAGCACTGCTGACAACACACTCTCCGAGGGTAATTTGATTTGCCTGAAGTACTGTACAACTGTACAACGGTACCGTCGTACATCAGCGGAAAACAGTGAAAGCGAAAAAACTTTTCCCTTTCACTTTACACTACACTGCGCCCAAAACTGATGAGGCCCATGTTGTTTCCTGCTGTGCTATTTTATTTTCCGTTGACGCTATTTTCCCATGTCTTTTCCCTTGTCCCTCGATGAGGAAGAAGAAAAAGAAGAAGAAACAGTGGTCAGCATTTAGCATAACAGAAGCGAAGCAAAAACGGGTGACAGTGCAAATATCGATTGAGCTGTTCGTGATAGTGCGTGTGTGTGTGTTTAGTGTGCGAAGGATGAACCAGTGCATTTGTCGTTTAGCAGCAGCAAGAGGAAGCGAAAAGCCACTGTTGTACGACAAAAGCACTGCTGAACAGTTGACTCCTACACCACCACCACCACGTCCATTAAGAGTGAGCAGTTTGTTTAACGAACACACGAACGAACAAAAGCAAAGTGTAAAAGTCGGCAGCCATTTTGCCTTGTTCCAAGCGAATAGAATGAATCACCCGGGAAGTTCCGAGTGGAAAACCCGAGAAATGGTGGAGAAATAGAAATGGAAACACCAGGCAGAGAATGGGAGGGTGGGGTATCGGGCATCTTCTACTGGGTAGGGTGGTCTGTCTGGCTGCCCAGTCGGCTGGTATATAGCCTTCAGTTCTGGTTAGTGGTCCAGCTGCAGCCACTGAGCTCTCCAGTGTTCCAGTGGCCTACTGAAGCAGCTGCTAGTGCTGCTGGTGGCGCTGTGCGCCCTTCAGGATTTCTCTTTTCCCATTCCTGGAACGAGACACGATGGCAGAGGCAGTGGCAGTACCAGATCTGCGGCAGTGAACGCGCAGACTCGTCGCAGCCAACACACACACACACACATTCTTGACTGAGCTATCCCTTTTCCCTCTTCTCTCTCTCCGTAACACCTCCGATTGGTTTCGCTGGCAGCTGCTGCACTGTCGCTCGTGCATTCTTCTCGCCTGTCCTGTGTCTCTCTCTCCCTCTCACTGACAGACGCGATTTCTACCTCTTCTTCTTCTTCTTTTTGGGTTTTTCTTCTGGTACTCTACTCTCTTCTTCGTCGACTAGGGTGGATCATTTCGATCACTACTGAGGCTGCTGCTGCTGCAATTTCGGTGCCCAGTTTGGGTTCGCAGACTCCAGTTCTCCATCAGTCTGAACAACACTGTAGCGTTTCTTGCTGTCTTCACCCACACGCCGGCGTGACTTTGACGGCTATGCCAGTGTCTGTGTGTTGTCTTTTCTTATTCTAAACTATTTTCGAAATCAGCCAGCTGAACTGTCTGGTGTTTGTGGTGGTCTTCCGAAGCACTGTGCTTCTCATCCTTTATCCCCACCCACCGATCGACACATTCCTAAATGACAGAGATCACCGCTGTCAGTGCATATCACCTCTTGTTGATCTCTTCCGCGTCGTTAACGCCCCACATTTGACCACAACCACCACAGTTGCGAAACCCTCTAGTCATTTGCCGACTGTTTAACGCCTCGCTCTTCTACTTTTGACCACCGTACTTCACTAAACTCACCTTTAAAAAACCACACAAACACACACACAGCCTAAAGATGCCTGCAGCCGTGGAAGAGCCAATGGAGCCCGTGGCTCCGCCGAAGCCGAAGACGGAGCTCGAAGCGATTCAGATGCAGGCTAATCAAGTCACAGATGACTCTCTCGAGTCGACGAGGCGTATGTTGGCGCTCTGTGAAGAGGTAAGTGTGCTTTGGCGCTTGTTTTGTTTTGTTATTTTAAGAAAAGAAGCAACCACACTTCAGTATTTGTTTGTTTAAGAATATAAGAAACCAAGAACTGCTCAGACGGAGTGTTATTCAAAAGTGTCAACAGCAGCTCCCAAAAGAGACACAATGTTTTCTTTTGCTTTCGTTTTTTTCTATACTAACCGAAAATGTTTGCCCTCCCCCACTATAATACAGAGTAAAGAAGCCGGCATTCGGACTTTGGTCGCCCTCGATGAGCAAGGAGGTAAGTGGAGTGAAATGAAGCCTCACACTTAT